TAGTAACAAGTGCCTTACTAGTAGTAACAAGAAGCTATTAGTAACAACTTTGAAGGTTTGAAGAAAAGAAGGACACAACATCTGAAACAGAAAGAGCTGTGATTACTTGCTTCAATGGAATGCCGGAAACACACGAACAAACCCTCGTCCTTTCTATGAGGCCAAGCACTCTGTTCTCTTTGGAATGTTTTCTGCACGCGCCCCTAGTAGCGTCCTTGCTCCTAGTAGCAAGGCCAGGAGCCCCTAGTAGCATCCTTGCTCCTAGTAGTAAGGCCAGGAGCTAGTAGCGAACATTGCTCCTAGTAGCGATGCCCTTTGCTCCTAGTAGCTTGGGCGTTACACTTAGGCGTTGCCTCAAGAAGCAATGCACCGGATCCTGTCGAGCATCCTAGGCGCAGAATCCGAGCATCCACAGTCAGGGTTTCGTTGAGTGTTTTTCGACCACATCACTGGTGTTTTTCGGTAGGCCGCTAGTAGCCTATCAATATCAAGTAAGGGATACGTCAAAGCTTGAGTAGTTTCTTAGGCAAACCACGCAGAAAGGGTTCAGGCTTCTTCAAGGAAGCTCTCTCCGCCTGAGTTTCCTTGAACACGTCTGAACCTTAATGTTTAGATTCCTAGATGGCCATTGCTACTAGGCTGGAGGCCATCGCTACTATAGTTACTAGGGTGCCACGTGGGGTCAAGACTTAGCTTGACTTTTCGCTCCTGGTGCCACGCGGCAACTTGGCTCAAATGACCAAGAAACCACAAAGACAACATGTTGAAATGCGGCAACAAATAAAGACGCCAGACATCGTCGAAGCAACAAAAGAAGCATCCTTTGTGCAACCACCTTCTCAGTGCAACGGTGACCCGGGCATTTTTGCCGAACCTTGGTTGCATGGAGGCAGCTTTCACTAGGAACAAGTGCATCGCTTCTAGTAACAAGTGCCTTACTAGTAGTAACAAGAAGCAGAAACAAAGGCATCGCTACTAGGAACAAGAATGACGAGTCTAGGTTTACCATGGCTTCACAACAAACTACGCCGCTACGCTCGGTGGCGCGTGTACGGCATATGATAAGGGATTCGGTAGACAAGTCGTAGACACGTTGAAGAATGCTGCACTTGAATGTGTCTGTCTGTGGAACAACAGTGCCCTTGCTTCCTAGGCTCGCCTGTACAGAATGAACGGTGGCGGAAGCGGCTGGTTTGGAGGTGGCGGAAGCAGCAGCAGCTACACCGGCATCTCGGTGTGAAATACAGTGTTTCGTTTTCGTAAGTGCAGAGGATTCTGTGACATGTTTTAGATATTTCTGCAAATGAGTTGGAGGCCATCGCTCTTAGATTGGAGGCCATCACTAGTATTCCAAAACGTTTCAAAAGGGGCCCAGGGGCCAGAGGGCAAGTTGGCTCCACTCTTGGCTTGTGATGTCCTTGTGATTGAGGAGGTGGCACATACAGCGGAAACTACAATGAAGGGAGCTATGGATATGGGAACTATGGCAACGACATGCCATGGAATGGAGGTGCAGCAGAGACGGGTATGGTTCAAGTGTTGTCAAGCGCTAGGTGGTGATGAGCTTGGCAAGAGCCGTTTCCACGTGAAGAACCCAAGCTCCACTGTATCCTTCCATGTATTGGCTTCATCTTTGCTACTTAGCTTTACTTGGCTACTTAGCTTTCTAGTACTGCTACTACAACCACCACTACCACCTACTTACTACTTACTACTTACTACCTACTACTTACTACCTACTACTACTACTACTACCACTTACCACTTACCACTTACCACTTACCACTTACTACTTACTACTTACTACTTACTACTTACTAACTACTACTACTACTACTACTACTACGACTACGACTACGACTACGACTACGACTACGACTACCACTTACTACTTACTACTTACTACTTACTGCTACTAACAGCTAACTGACTATGAAGTATGCGGCACGTAGATGGCCTCGCCTTTGGCGCGTGGGAATTGCCTTTTTCACCGCGCCTGCAGTGTGTTGAACCCGCCTGCGTGGTCCACACCAGGGCCGCGTTTCAGTTGCAAACGCGACAGCCCTGCGAACCTCAAAACGTCATACAAACAAGTGCCTTACTAGTAGTAACAAAGAAGCTACTAGGAGCAAAAGGCATCGCTACTAGGAACAAGTGCCTTACTAGTACTAGTAGTAACAAAGAAGCTACTAGGAGCAAAGGGCATCGCTACTAGGAACAAGTGCCTTACTAGTAGTAACAAAGAAGCTACTAGGAGCAAAGGGCATCGCTACTAGGAACAAGTGCCTTACTAGTAGTAACAAAGAAGCTACTAGGAGCAAAGGGCATC